CACCACTTTAACACCAAACAAATAAAGAGGACCATAAGGACGTAGGGAGTTTCATCTTTGATGACATCTTTTGATTACATCGTTTGCTTCATGGATATGAAAAATGAAGGTTTTGGTTAAAACCTGGGTTTTACAAAACCATGGATATATGATGGAATTGTTTCATTTGGTTTTTGGTACAAACCATCGTTTGCTTGTTGGATATCATGATGGATTTGACATTGTTATATTTGTGGTTGTATTAGGAATTTACGCTAGTGCCCTTATTGAGTATTATCTATTTTTTACATTATAATTTTTGTTACAAAAACAATTTTCATCCAATAGCTTCGTCCTACTACCACAATCGGAACAAATGAACATGATTAATCAATAACAACTTCATATTATACACATAATTAGACAATTTTTTAAGATTTTCAATGTTGCAAAAGTATGTCTTGAGATTAATCATGTAGTGTTTGCGTGCAATGAATAATTACGAATATTGAATGCAAAATTAATATGCACTACAAGTTGGTCATTAGTAAATGAAAAAGATAAGTTGGTGATTAGTTTGATAAGTAGGGTTAAAATCTTTTTGTCATCATGGACTTTGTACCCCAACAGGCCAACACAAATCCCACCTCTTGGGGTGGAATTCTCAAGTCCGTGGGGTCCACGGATTTGGACCATAAAAGTATGTGGGCCCCACAGATTTATTCATGCTAAATCCATCATGCAAACAACGGATTGTGTGCAAAGTCTATGATGTTTGGTTTTTACGTACCAAATCCATGATGAATTCCATGAAACAAACAAGGCCTAGCTAGAAGTTATAAGAGATTTTTCCAGAAATAGCACTATTCAGGAAAAAAAATTCCAAAAATAGCACACAACTCTGAAAACTTCCAAAAATAGCACCCTTTCTGCAAAAGCGGTCTAACCGCCACCCGTTCCAGCGGTTTAGGCGAAAACCGCCTCCCGGTGGCGCGTTTTTCGATGAAAACCGCACTGGTAGGGGCCAGTTTTGCAAACCGCACCACCACCATGCAGTCTGTTTTTTTTTAATCCTAATCTAGGTGGAAACTTTAAACAAACGTATCTTTGTGTTTGGGTATCCGATCGTCCCGAATTTTTTTATTATTCATAACCTTTTGAGATCTTGCAAGCCGAAGACTGCCAAAGGTGGTTTGGTCCCGTCTTCGTCCCAAAAAATGTCGTTTGCTACCCAGAACGAGCTTTTTTCCTATTTCGTAAAACTTTTGACAACCATAACTTTGTGCTCCAAAATCCAAACGGCATGAAATTTTCTTATTTCGCATAACATTTAAGGACTACAATTTTTACTAGGAATGAATTTTCAAAACAGGAATTATTTTTGGATATACAGGATTTTGGGAATAGCTTACTTTCCCTTCTCAGCAATCCACTTACATTTTGAAATTATGTCTATGATAAAAGTTGTATTCCTTAAAAATTTATGCGAAAAAAAAATTCATGTCATCTGGATTTTGGAGCACAAAGTTATGGTTGTCCAAAGTTTGACGAAATCGGCAAAAAGCTCATTCGGGGTAGCAAACGACATTTTTTGGGACGAAAGCAGGACCAAACCACCTTCGGCAGTCTTCGGCTTGCAATATCTCAAAAGGTTATGCGGAATAAAAAAAATTCGCGACGATCGGATACACCAACACAAAGATACGTTCGTTTGAAGTTTCCACCTAGGTTATGATTCTTTTTAAAAAAAACAGATCGCATGGTGGGGGTGCGATTTGCAAAACCGCCCCCTACCAGTGCGGTTTTCATAAAAAAAAGTACCCCCGGGTAGCGGTTTTTGCCTAAACCGCTGGTACGGGTGGCGGTTTTGCAGAAAGGGTGCTATTTTTGGAATTTTACGGAATTGGGTGTTATTTTTGGAAAATTTTTTAAACTGTGTTATTTCTGGAAAAATCCCAAGTTATAACTGAGATTTGATGGAGATGATTCATGTATAATTTTTTATATAAAGTTATTTTGGCACAATATATCGATAAAATTTTGCTTAATATTATATACATGATATTAGATCGAAAGGAGTGGTTACCCAAACTACAATTTATTTTAGGGTTAAAGACACATTTGGTCACTGAGATTACAAAATCGGGACATGTTTAGTCACTAGAAAAAGTTAATATCAAATTTGGTCACTACAATTACTAAAACTGGACGCATTTAGTCACTCGCCGTTAGTCTCCGTCCAACTCCGTTAATGAAGTCCGTTAAGTGCTGATGTGGCAAACAGAATTGCCTAATCAGCCGGATATAACCCAACAAAAATAAAACCCGACCCGCCACGTCATTAAAACCAATCCAACCCAACCCATGACCCAACCCTTCTTCCTCCTTCCTCCCACCTCCTTCTTTCCCCAAAACCACCGTCGCCGCTCTCCTCTTTCCTCCCACCTTTCTCCCAATCACGCTCCGGAGATGAACCACTGCTGAACCCATCACGCTCGTCCACCGGAGATGAACCACTGCAAATCAACACACAGACAAATCAATATTAGGCTAACAGTCAATTCAATTAATCTGATTCAAAGTGACGAATCCCAATTCGTTAATTTGAAATAAGAAGCCTGATGAATCTGTAATCATTTTTGCGTTACCTCTTCGGTCAAGTGGAGGAATTTCTCCAAGACAATGGAGATGACGATGATGGCAGCGCAAACAACTGCGACGGCCCACGTCGGCGTGGCATCGAGCTCCCTCGGCCGGGCTTCTCCTGCTCCTCCTCCTTCGCCGCCGCCTCCCCCCATCTCTGTCTCTAAAACTGTACCCTATTCCTGCCGGAGAAGGAGAGATAAGAAGACGTGGTTGGATTACAGAGGTTGTAAATTGTTCAGTTGCGGGGGCAAAAAACAGAGTCTCTTTTGCTCTGTTACGGAATGTGAAAATTGGAAAGGGCAAAGGAGGAGAGCGGCGGCGGCGGTTTTGGGGAAAGAAGGAGGTGGGAGGAAGGAGGAAGAAGGGTTGGGTTGGGTTGGTTTTAATGACGTGGCGGGTCGGGTTTTATTTTTGTTGGGTTATATCCGGCTGATTAGGCAATTCTGTTTGCCACATCAGCACTTAACGGACTTCATTAACGGAGTTGGACGGAGACTAACGGCGAGTGACTAAATGCGTCCAGTTTTAGTAATTATAGTGACCAAATTTGATATTAACTTTTTCTAGTGACTAAACATGTCCCGATTTTGTAATCTCAGTGACCAAATGTGTCTTTAACCCATTTATTTTATTATTTTTCACATGACCTCAACCACGAGGGAAATTTTTTGACTTTCTTTGCTGTCAAGATTCATATATGAAGATTCTATAAGAAGAGAGTGAAGTTATCATCATTCTACTACTAGTCTACAACCTTTGGTCTTCTCATGCTCTTGTTCTCTGTCTCTCTGTCCCATTACTAAAACTGGTACGAAAGCAACCCACCACAGAAAACCTATAAATAAAGAATAAGGCAAAACCTTAAATCCAAACGGAGAAGGCCACAAGTCAACTAGTAAAATAGAAAAAAGATATGATGCCATTGTTGTGGAAAGGAAAGGACTTGTGTTCTCTATTCTTTGAGGAATCTCCTTTAAGTGAAAGAAAAAGAATGTAGCATGCAGGCTTCTTTTGCTGCCCTCTTCTTCCCCATCCTTAGCCAAAATCCTAATTGTCAAGAACCAGTTGATACCAATAACTCGAGTTATTGGAAGAAGGTTATACTGGATCATATATCTCAAACACGTCCTCTCAAACGAAAGCCAACCCATGGGCTTGAAGTTTGCACAGGCCCACCATGCCATGTGCTTGAAAGACAACGGTTAATATTGGGGGTCGTGGAGATTCGATCGAACACATGACCTTTCGGTTCTAGGCTCTGATACCATGTCATGAACCAGTTGCTCCCAATAACTCGAGTTGTTGGGAGAAGGTTATACTGGATCATATACCACTCTCAAACACTAATCACCAACTTAATAAAGTTGATCATACTTTGTGCCCTTCGCCAACCCTTGCAATGATGGTGCAATTATGGATCAAAGTTTAACCATGTTGATTAAGTTTCCCTAACCTAAATTTTTCTTATGAATTAAAACCCGAGTCACTCCTTTCTCACACTTAACACATTCCTTTAACGTAGTTGCGGTTCTTTTATGCAAGAGAACAGTTCGTCTTGCTTAATAAGAACTTAAAGTGCTTCAAATTGGGTCAGCATTACTCCATTGCCACAATGTTGCCTTATGAGAACCCTATCTAGACATTCGATTTCCTCCAAACCTCATACTCCAAACCTCGCAAATGACTAATCATGATAATGAAATCCAAACAAAGAAATTAATTATGGAGACTGAAAATGAAGATTTCGGAATGACGCTTCTTGTGCTTAACCTAACAACATTGACATCATTATTTACCACAAGATGCATATGACGAGTCAAGATGGGGCGGAGCAGCAACTGTACTGATACATGTCCCATAATATTTGCAAGGCGAAGCACCACCCTTTTTTCTACAGTAATTAGCAACACCTTTTTCAGTTTTGTACAAATCTAAATTTACTCGCCGTCTCATTTTGAAATATCGTCACTACTTAACTATGATAAATTCTCCCTTCAATCGTATAAAAATTTTCATTGAAGAAATTAAGACATGACAAATACCTAGTTGGCAACAGATTAGCCCCAACTACTCCAACTCCCACAGACAATGATTAAACCATTAATTACCGACAAAGTGAAGGAACATCCATCATACCACAATCTCATGATAGTCTCATTTTGTTAGAGAATTTAGGGTTTAGATTGACCCCAAATTAAGGTAAATGCCAAACTTAATACTCAATAGAGAGCATAATAGAATCTTGACAATGAATCCGACAACCAACAAACCAAGACCCATCGCCATCACAACAGCTGTTAAATAGAATAGAATTGAATATTAAAAAAATCATTGCAGCACTTTTTTTTCTTTCTTTTTTGCTCATCTCCTCTTCAATTCAACACAACCCCATCCACCCACCCACCACATTTCTTTTCACTGTCCACCCAAACCCTAAGAACAACAACAAACATCATCATCAAATACAGTTAGCACCCTCCAAAACTTTTAAGGATTACACATTCAAACCCAACTCACTAAACCCATCTACTAATCTTAAATTTTGGTCAGCTAATACAAATTTTCCTCTCATTCTATTTGGGTTCTTGCTTATTGATTACCCAAATCCCTAATTAGAAACCAAACCAATGATTAGGCATAAACAGAGCCATAAGATAACGCCATCAACAGAACCGCCGCTTGCTCTACCTCCCCCAACTTCCTTCTCTGCTTCTCCACCTTCGATCTCTGCTGCTGCTTCATCATCACTTCCCTTCCCAACGCCACAAATCTCGCTTTCAACCCGTTCCCCACCAGCTTGTTACTGCTGGTGTGACCATTATGCCCTCCTCCGCCGCCGCCGCCATGGGTCAGGGCCTTCTTCGCCGCCGATTTCTTCTCGGTGGATGACGATTTGTTTAACCCTAGTATATCCCTTCTCTTCTTCCTGCTCCTGATCCCACACGCGTTGCAAAGCGACTGCAAGGGGAAAAGGACAAAACCCATGATCAGAAACAGAGATCGGACGGTGGAGATTGAATCAGAGATCGATCATGATTGTAATGAACGGCTGGCGATGATTAATTTACCTTGGGACCGGCAGGGCCGCCTCTCCATAGAGGGGTCTTGCTCGTTCCGCAATCGGCGCACGTCTTCTTCTGTAGGCCGTCTCCTTCTCCTCCCGGCGAGGATCCCCGGCTGCCGTCGTCGTCGGCGTAGCCCGACATCTGAAAACAAAGATAAACTTTGATTAGCTAGCCGCTCTAATCAGAGAGATCGAGACCAGGGGAATGGAAGATGGAACTCACTTTGTCACTCGGATCGGGCATTTTAAGGCGGGTGTACTCGAGATCTAACAGGAACCCAGATCGGGAATGGCTACGAGCTGAAATGGGCAGCTGTCAAGTTCCCCGATTGGAGGCTGAACTCGAGCTGGGTAGTGAATCAAGTAGAAGCTTGTGAGAACAGAGATCTAGGTAAGATTTGGAAGGTGGTGATCAAATCAAGTTACAGAAATGATCGTAATCAGATTCGGACTGGAGGAGGGAGAAGGTGAAGTGATCAGGGAATCAGATGATGATTATGGAGGCAAAAGGATGATCAGAAATTTGATCAGGGAGGGGGGAAAATGGAGGCAGAGAGCTTAAGTGAGAGAAGGGGGAAGTGAAGAAGGAGAGAGGGAATCGAACCGACAATTACAACTAATACAACCGCACGGCAGCGATCCAAAAACGAGGTTTATAAATGGGGGAAGGAAACCCTAACGCGCCCTTGTTTTCGTTGAATTACAAGAACGCCCTTGTGGGATGAGGAAACTCCTTTTGAGTTTTGACCTACAAAAAAGGTACCCATCATCCCGCCAGACCTGGGTCATTCAGATTCAGGTTTTGGCCGATTTGGCAAAAAGATTTGATTTTGGTGTTCAAAAAATTTGAATTCATCAATTCAAGATGTGAAGTCAAGTGTCTTATATGATCGTGCTGAGGGAAGTCTGATAGGCGCGGGAATCAGCGTTGATCGTGTTTGTATCAATTGTGATTGATCTCTATTTTGATTATTATGAACTAGGATGTGATTTCATTATAAAAAAAAAAAAAAAAACTAGGATGTGATTTGGTTGTGTAGATTCATGAAATATTTTTGGTCGTTATGCGGTTGCTCTAGATCTGGCAAACGGGTCGGGTTGGGTAATTTCAGGTTGGGAATCTCGGGTTACGGGTCTTCAAGGGTCGGGTCATGATGGGTTTGCTAATTTCGGGTCAAATATTGACTCAACTCGTCGGGTTTCGGTTCGGGTTTCAGGTCATGAGCGTTCTCAGAAACAATATCTAACTTGCTTCATAAATTTTTAAAGAACACAAATTTTTACTTATGTGCGACAATAGTTTGTCTAGCACGTGTCAATTAACAAATGCTCAACTCCTTCCATGCTAATGAAAAGAAATACAAATTGCACAAATTGTCAAAAAACAATGACGAAAGTAATACTACTACAATAAACAAATGATGTTTGATTATCTTTACACTCCAAACTTGTCTTTCAAATCCTAATAAAATTTTCTAAACATCTCGCCTAAGTATGAGTGATTTTATCATTTTGAAAATGACATATGCAATGAAACGGGTCTAGCGGGTCGACCCACAAGGCCCCAACCCAATCCGACCCAAACACTACGGGTTTATCGGGTTCGGGTCATTCGGATTTCGGGTTATAAAAACCTCAATCTATTCTCTATTTTTCGGGCGGGTTCAGGTCGGGTCCACAGGTTGGATCCTCATTTGCCATGTCTAGGTTGCTCATAGCTAGTACTAGCGTAATTCGATGCTCGAGTATATGAAATTCGTAAACGTTGTTCAATCAGTCTGAATGTGATATTCAATTTGACTGTCGCAGAATTTTTTTTTGTTGTTGTTAAAACTAAATGTTGTTATTCAAGGTCAGTTAAACAATCGCATAATCTTGTCAAATACCGATGAATTCAAAATTCACTTCTACTTCGATGAACAACTCTACTCAAAGAGTGAATTCAAGTCAATGTTTCAGAAACTCAATCGTGTCGGTTGGTCAACCCGAAAATACAGGGCACGAGACTAAAATCTGTAGACGATTTTAGCGGTAGAAGATGGTCGACCCATCATTAAACCATAATTTTAGGGCAAACTACTTTTCCACATATTTTTCTGGTATAACCTGCTATTCAATTTCACAAACTTCAATTCGCTTAGAAAAATTTGAAAGTGGAAGGATTGAAGAGGTGGGAAACGAAGGAACGCAATAACAAGAGGATGAAAAAGAGGCGCCAAATTGTTTTGGTGGGAGAAGTACTTTTGAGGAAGTGAAAGATAAAAAAGGGAGGGAAGGAGATTGGGTTTTTGGCGGGAGAGATTAGGTCAGTTTTGGCTCGCAAAATGGGAAGAATGGAGGGAAAGGGAAGAGTACTATTCTAATAACGGCAAAATGAAGAAGACATGATTGGGTTCTTCCCCCAATTCCCTTATTTTTGTTCTTGTCCCTCTTATATCATTTCATTTTCTTTTTAATGTTGAAAATGGAGATATCATATGATAGGTCAGTTTGGTGAGAGAAATATATATATATACATACATACTATTTAGTGTTAGATTGTTAGTTTGTTACGTTAACACACGTTTACTAGTGTACTCAACTACTCATATTCATTTGGTGATTCAGTCAACCCACATTCTCTTTTTGTCACCACAAGGAAAGGAAGTCAATTCTTTTTATTTCTAGTTTACCTTCAAACCACACTCCATTTGCTCAATTCCAACTTCCATGTTAATGATTGGGTGTGCTGAAATGGTGTATGAGTGTGATTGTCAAACTATTTACTGTAACAAAAAATTGTGATGACGTATGTTGAAAGATTTGTGTTCTCGACTTCATATTGTCGTCTCTCTTTGTGATTGACATACAATGGCTTGCTAGTTTTAGCGTGCTTGTTTTACGTGGACACTCAACGAGGCTGCGCCCAGTCACTCACAGAACGATATAGATAGTTGTATCAGATGTTTTTTTTCCGGTTAAACAGTTGTTAATGATGCATGACACTGCATAGGTACGCACCTAACATCAATAGCTATTACCTAATTGAGATTTTAGCATTTCCATGTCGCTTTGCAACGAGCATTTGTTATGGGGCATGTTTTTCGAACCGCTTATACGAGAAGGTTTATACTATAACCTTCCATCAATATATCAAATAATATAAAACAATCACTGTTACAATGAGAGAATGTTTGTAAATAGGTGAAGCAAACTACAATAATTTTTATCGAAAGTTAGAGTGAAGATTGACTAGACACCTAGATGAAGTACATCGCATATTAAGATATTTGAAACACACATGAGATATCGGGTTAATGTATCCTACAAGAGGAGAGCCAACAATTGAGGCGTTTGTTGACACAGATTATGCAAGATGCCTAGACACAAGAAGATCAACATCAGGATGGAGCGTTTGGTTTGGTCGACCTTTTTTTTTCTTCTAACGTTGTTGGAAGCAAGATAAAGTTTCTCAATCATCGACATAGGCTGAGTATAGATCTACTATGTCAGAGGTGAGTTCAGAAATAATATGACTCCAGAGATTGCTCCGGGAATATGGATTCGATTGCTAATCACCGATGCTATTATATGGAGATAATACCAGTGCAATACTGATTGTCATTCATCAAGTCCTTCACAATTGTACGAAGCATATAGAGATGCATGTTTACTATATATGGAAATTGGTAACCAAAAGGAGCAACATAGGTTAGTTATTTGAAGACACCTGATCAAGTTGTGGATATTTTGACGAAACTAATGAGTTCGAGCCGACACGGGTATCACTCATGCACATTAGTGTTAAGTACACGACATCAATTTGAGTGAGGGTGTAAAAGTAAGAACATCAATATATAATTGTATCTAGAGTTTGTCTAAGCAAACCATATACATATTGTTGTAAACAGAACATAAAAAATAATAAATAAATAAAAAAGTATAAAACCTAACAGGGAGATCCTCTATGTGGACTAGTAAGTTACATCACCCCACTAAAAAACTTTGTGTGTTCAGCTATTTGTTTGATTATTTGACAGTTAGATCTGTTATCAATGAATGACAAGACCATTGAAGTTGGGCGAATTATAATCCGTTAAACCGGTTTTTAATTTATAAACATATAAACCGTTTTGGGGTCATGTGGAAGTTATGATTCTAGATGAATGATTCTTTGAATTCATGTATTCTGGAGAATCCATCATTTTTTTGTTCCAAAACTTTATTCAATACATGCATTTAAGGTGGGCCCTCAAATCTCATATCACCCACAATCACTCATTTTAAATATCAACAAAAAGTGAGATTCCTTCTTTGAGATTGTTGGCTTTAATTTGTTTCACTTTTAGCTCATAAAGTAATTTTTTTCTTTTCTTTAAAGATTTTGAATGACTACAACCAAACAAGACATTCTTTCAATCATCTAATTCTTACAATCTTTGGGGTCGTTTGGAAGTTGTGATTTCAAATGGTGTATTGATCTAATTCATGTATTTGTGAGATTAAGTCGTTTTTTTGGCTTATATAGAACTAGAATACATGTATTTACTTTTTGGAGACCCACCACAATCACTCAATATTGAGGGATTTACAATCTCTACTTTTTCTTGAGATTCTTCACAATCACTCTATGCTAACTTTTTTACCTTTGGAACAAAAACACAATCTAAACCTCCAAACAAGATATTTACCTAATACATCAATTGATTCAATCCATCAAATGATAATACATTAATTGTCCCAATACATCAATTTGAAGAATACACATATTTGAAAAATCTCAACTTCCAAACTAACAGTTTGTATCATTTTTATTCTCAGTTTGAAACTTGAAAACAAAAGGCTGACCAATTGATTTTGATATAGCTATAGGCGTGAAGACGCCACATACACACAAAAAAAAAATATTCCTCTCAACTCTCAAGTCGCCACATCATTTCTTGCTTTGCACGCCAGACATCTAACCTACATATACCATCGTAATGCAATTATCATTTATCACATTTCTCAATCAACAAACAACGTCAGATTATATATTCAAAGTATTACACTGTAGGCAACGTGAGACCCAAAAGCGGGTTAAAGAACTACACAATCAAGATCAATTGAGACCGTGGGGAACGCATGGCAGCAGATTATCCATGTAGGTTTACTACCAACCACTAGTTGCCTTGTGGTAGGGTTTTTGTTTAGGATTAAGAATGAATAAGAAAGACTAATGGACTCAAATAATATGTGGAAAGTAAGGCTGTCAAACCGGTTTAAGTCATTGAGCCGGTTAAGTAAGGGGTTTGATGTTTAATTGTCTGAATTGGGGTACGCCCGGTTTGAGCCAGTTTAGACGTTTTCTAAATATATATACAAATAAGGTATTAATTAAAGATTTAGTGACTGAAATAAAATTTATTTTAAATGTATCTAATAAAAACTTATTTTCCACAGTTTAAATCTACCTAACCTCTATGACCCACCCACCATCTCCCTTCCTTCGTTTCTCTAATTCTCTTCCTCTCTTCCCCCTCTCTTCTTCTCCCTCTTTAGGGGTCAGACCGGAGGGCTTTCTGAAAGGCGTTTTGAAGCCCAACTTAGGTCAGATCGAGTTCAACCAGGGGTCCGATAGGGGTTTGACAACTTTGGTGGAAAGTGTTTGGCTTTTATAAACGAGAGGTATGTTGGGGAAGATAGATCGAAATCGGAAGGTTTGGATTACTATAGGGTAGTCATCATGAGTACTCTCTCTAAGTAATGTTTTAATGATCTAGCAATTCTTGTATAGAAGAAAAGAATTTCGTATTATCAAATTATCATTCTTTAGGCTCCGAGTTTAAGAACTCTCCAATAT